ATGGGATTAGAAGAGGACGCGATCGAGGATGGAGGTGGGAGGGAAGAAGGGTCGGGATGTGAGGAGGGACGGGACGCGATTGGGGGAGGGGTGGGATCGGGGGAATCAGCGTCGGCGTAGGAAACGGGATCAGGATAGACTGAGGTCGAGAGAAGGGAGATCGGGATGAGAAGAGGGAGCGGGATGGTACGGGATCGGGGTGAGGATCTGGACCGGGATAGTGCCCGGCGTCGGGTCCGGGGCTGGAGTATTAGCACAATCAGGAGGGGGGGGGGGGTCGAGGTCGGGTTAGCGCTCAGAGTGGGGGGAGGGAGAAGTTAGTACTCTCACTCGACTATGGCGGCTCTCCGTTGCGGTAGCGGCTTGAATCTTCGTTTCTTTCTTCTGGTCAGGCACACGTTCGTAGGAGCCTTGTCGCGTTGAAAGTGTCTTGCGTCTTCGAGGTTCACTGCGCTCCCCCTAGGTCTTCTCCCATTCCCCGTGAACCCGTCCACGTAGCTTTGCGAAGCATGAATATACGTGGCTTCGCGATAGGCGCGCGCGTGGGGACGACTTCGGGTGTCCGCGGGGCTATGGCGGGGTCTCAGAGCTTCATCTTTCAGACTTGCTCGCGATGGCCTCCAGTTCCTTCATGGGGGGCGTGGGTGGGCGGAGTAGCGCTTACCGGAAGGCGCCGGCGCCAGCCAGTTTCTCAGTTTCTCATCTTTAAGAGTTGATGTCTGTTGAAAATTGAAACTTGAAATCCATAAAAACATTCGTTTCGAACGCTTGCAACAGAGCACGACTGCTTGGCGCTTTACTTCTCTGCCTGTTTGCCTGCCTGCCTATCTGCCTCTCTGCCTGCATGTACGTCTGTGTGTATGTGTATATGTGTGTATTTGTGAAAGTGTGCATGCGTGTTGTCATGTTAGCTATACACAACTCCACAAAGAAAAGCATGACTATGCCAGACTGTTTCTTCGGACTTTCAGACACTCATCAGGAGGTTTAATGATGACAGGCTGCCCACGATGGATTGGACTGATGGATAAGCGCTCATTGCTCACCATGTCGCCCAGAATTAGCAATGCCCTTGAGAAAAGTGGTTGACGTTACTCACACAAACCCCCCAATCCCAGTGTATATGTGTACGTGTGTTGTCAAAGAACCTCAAACTCTCTCGTCTTTCGCAAACCATACACAAAACATTCATAAAACAGAGTGTGTGTGTGTGTATGCGTGTACACAATTATCTATGGGTGCATGTATGTACGTATATACTATATATAGTCAAACATAGCTGCCCGGTAAACTGTAGGCAGAGAGGGAGAAGAGGACAACAAACAAGGGGCTGTGACAATTTGTTTCGTCAGAGTTTCACCGACTCATCAGAAGGCTGATATATGTATACATGTATGTATGTGCATGTATGATGTATGTATGTATGTACATATGCCTGTATATGTACATACATACATACATACATCATACATGCACATACATATGTCATATATGTATGTACTATGTATGTATGCAAGCATGTGTGCACATAGGTATGTATGTACGCATGTACACACGTGAATGTGAGTACTTATGTATGCATGCATGCGTTGATACACGCATGTATGGAGGTTGGTTGGCACATACTATATAGTATATACATATGTACGCACCTCGTATATGCATGCAACATGGGTAGGGAGAACGTGGCAAGGAAACTGCCTGTGAGGATGGTACCAAGGTGGGAAGCTTCATCATTACGGGAAGATGTCAGATCCACTCCACATATTCACAATGGGTTGTATCGGCTGATTGCAGGCTGTGGCTCTAACGAAAGAAGTCTGCTCCAATGTTGCAAGGGCAGCAAAGGCTGTGGGTGTGCAGTACATGATCATACTGAGAGGAGACTCCACTCTGCGAGGACATTTCCCTCAGGTGCGCTGGGTGAGAGAATTCCGTACCCTCCCTCCAGAGTCAAGAGTCAAGAGTCAAGAGTCAAGAGTCAAGAGTCAAGAGTCATCTAACTCTTTCTATGTCACCTGCACAGGTCCTGCAGTATACATAAACACAGTTCAACCTGTCTGTACAAAAGTACGCTATTCTGCCTGACCCACCCAAGATTTTACTCTCTGTCCCAAGTCTCGAGGACTCTCAGCCTCAAGGTTCTTGAGTCTTGACTAATTTGAAGAGTCTTTCTGAAACCTGTTCGAAAACTCAGAGACATAAGTCAGGAAACGGAGATGGTCTAAGTTCCTCTGACTCAATGATAATCATGTATATGTGTGAGCCTGTGAAAGTACTGTGCACTCCTCCCCTCAACAGCTTGGCACTGAATCCACTCCGCCACCTGGAAACGGGTTATGATGCCTCCATAGCCTAGGCCTTCTTCCTCCTACCATACTCCATAGCCACGGAGGTATTCTCCCTCACCCTCAAATCAACCTAGAGCTCTGCCGCGCTCTCCCACAGGTTGGAGCTGCATCATGGCTGCCAGGCAAATACCTGGGCTGGACTATCATTGCAACAAATGATGGACTCTTGCCTACGGCCTCTTGCCCAAAGTTAAGTCCTACTCCTGTAACTGCGCCTACTTACTATCCTACCCTTCCTCAGACACAAACAGGGCACAAAGAACGCCTTTTTTTTTTTTTTTTCAGATAGCACAAAGAACAGAGTTCGCACCCAGGCACAGACTCAGACTCAGCAAGCATCAGATAGACTCTTAAGGAAACAGATGACACAGAAAACCACTCCAGACTCAGAAATCTCACCAAATAAATCCAACTGACAGCATTTTCTCAAAATAATCCGGAAATCTCAGGCTGCAACTGTGCGGATCACTGGATCTACATAATCTGAAACAAGTCGAGATCAGATTTCGTTTCCCCCATCATCACCTCCCATCCCTTGCTCCTTCACCCCCGGGGGTCCCTTTCACTCCCCCCTGTGGCCTGCAAGGTGACATGACATGATGTGACAGTGGGAGGCACAAAAAATGTTTCTGGACTTTAGCCCGTGGCCCCTACCCTACTCGAGCCTGGTTTCTGGGAACGAGAATTATGGGACTTGTGGGAACGAGAATTATGGGCCTTGTGGGAACGAGAACTATGGCTCTTGTGGGAATGAGAAGTATGGGACTAAAAAAAAGTGACATTTAAAATTTTAAATGATTTAAATCATTTAATACTTTTTGACAGTTTTTGTACTAATTATGCAGAGCATAGTATACTAGTATAATAATCATACCTTTCACATCCTGGTACTGGAAGGAAGAACCGTTAAGCTTTGACCGGTTAAAGGTACTTCCTTTAACCTAAAATTAGTAAAATAGTAACAAATTACTAAAAAATTAAAAATACCTTCAAGGCTTTAATCAGTTAACTTAAAGCCTTAAAGGACTAAAGTATGGTTAAGCAGTATTTTAGGTTAACGAGTATTTTAGGTTAACCAGTATTCCACCATGCATTTTTTTTTTAGGGACTTTTGTGCATGAAACTTGTCAATCATGTGCTGACATCTCAAGCAATCGAAGAAAAGCACCAGTTACATCCAAATGTTTTTCCAAGGAACTTGGTGTGAAATGTACTGGGTATTTTTCACTGCTGTGAATCATTCTGTCCATCTATTTCATTGTTCAGACTCTGTGGAGTACTTAGAATTTCCAACGGGCGTTACTGCCATATCACACACATGTGGTGACTGTGAGTACCGCTCACAGTAAGCATCAGGGGGGGGAAACATCGATGATCGTATGTGTGAAAATCATGAACCCTTGTGTCCTGGCCCTGAATCTCCTGATTGCCAAACCCCTTGCCCAAAAGTCAGTGGTCTGTTGAATCTGTAGGCTAACGACTCCTATGGTGTTCACTACAGGAAATGGATGCGGCAGTCTCCGTGCTGGGTCAGATGGACGCATGGATTATTGCTCCGTTTTTTTTCCAAGGGGGAAGGCTGACAATTAATGATGTTCATTATGTTGGAGAGGGCGACAGGTCAGTGAGCGCGGACCGATTCCTCTCCCTTTTCCTGGCCTCATGACGATTATCTTTTCTTGAAATCTCTGAGATTCTTTGTCTGCAGTCTACTATCATCTCGTGGTTTGTAGAAGACTCCGACGCTGTCCTCCTTTCTTCTTTTTTTTTTCTTTTTTTTCTTTTTGACACCATTGTCCTAAGATAAAGGAAAGGCCTCAAAAGTGCATGTGATTACGATAGAGAAGGAAGTGGGGAGAGACAGAGAGAAAAATAGTGAGAAAGGGACAAGGAAGGAATGGAGAGAGGGAGGGAGGGAGGGAGGGCGGAAGAGAGGGAAGGGATAGCGAGAGTGAAAATGGGAAGCCCAGGTGATCGAATCTCACGATGAAGTTGAATCCCATAGGAATGAAAGCCGAGCATCCTTTTGCATTATGAATCTGGTAAACAAACATGGTTGGGTTCCTGTCTTCAGTTGGTTTTTGGCTTCTGAAAATGGTCATCTGGATCTTGTTGATGTAAGATATATAGCTGATGGGCCTTGCTTCTCAACCTAGCTTTGGCTATGGCACAGCCACGTGGCCCACCACAGACCATTTTGTGAGATTCATTTCGGCCAGCAAAAGGGATCTATTTCTACTGGGTTGAGCTTTGACTGTATTGCTGTGAGATTCACTTTGGCTACCGTCGTCCCCCGAACATAATGCAGCGTTTACAACGCATAGTTTGCTTTCTATTCGGATACAAGGCATAAAGTAAGTACTCTATTCAAACAGCTTGTATATTCGAATACAAAAGTCAGAATCTCCGGAACCACCCAATTAGTCCCATCCATTATACCAAAGAGTCGTCAAGAAACCTTAGCTCTTCGGTGGATTCTTGAAGGCGCCTTCTGGAGACGATGTTTGACCGAAAAAGAAACATAAGTTCACACATGTGTTCTATTTGAACCATCGATTCTTTTCGAAAACTCGAATACAACGCATATGTGCTATGTTCGGGGGAAGACGGTAGCCAAAGGACCAGGAAATGGTGCTTGGGAACGCTTCTGCCATGAGCTACTGCTCATAAGCACTGTTCGTTCATCACGGGTTGGAGCCGAGTTCCACTACAGCAAGTCATGGAGAGGTAAGTTTCCGTGCTGGGGCGGATTAGAACCTCGTACAACGGGCTGCAGGTTCAACCCCTCTCTTAATCTACTCACTGGCTAAGTGATCTTCCTTGCCAGAAAAAGGGTCATTGGATCAATTCCTAGGTTACGTGTTCGATTCTTGGACATGCACATAGAAATTGTACTATCAGTTGTGCAGTTGTGACACGTGTGGGATGAGTGTGGTTGGGTACACCGGGTCCCTGAGAAATCCATTCCATGCTGCGTTAGGGTGAAGTACTATCGTTTGTGTGGCTGTGGTAGGTGTGGGACGAGTATGGTTGTGGTAGGTGTGGGACAAGTGTGGGACAAGTGTGGGACAAGTGTGGGACAAGTGTGGGACAAGTGTGTCATGGAGACATCTGTGCTGGGTTCGGGTGAAACAATTATCTTGGCATTTCACTTTCACCCGGGTCGACTTAGCGGCATCCTGTGCTGGGTTCGGGTGAAATAATCCGTGCTGAGAAATCCGTGTTGGGTTCGGGTGAGAAATCCATGCTGGGTTCGGGTGAAATACTCCGTGTTGGTTAGGCGTCTCTGTCTGGCAAACAACCGTAGGTTGTTGGGCTCGATCCACTGTTTCCTCGGATGCTTCTGTAACCATGTTCATTGTTTGTCACAATTTTCAACATTAGTGTGGTCAGCATTTCTTTACAGGAAAATCCCAGCAGGAGGGACGGAGTTTCGTCATTCATTTTCACGTTGTTGCCTTTTTCACAATTTTCAAGTCTCAACATTTGGTGTGGTTGGCGGCATTTCTTGCAGGATGATCCCAGCAGGAGAGACAGAGTTTGCCAAGGATGCATCATTCGGCTATACAGCATCGAACCTGAAAGAAGTAAGGAGTTTTGAAACTCTGTTCCGGGGGGGGAGGGGGGGGGAGGGGAAGGGGGGAAGGGGGGAAGGGGGAAAGGGGGAGTCGGAGATGAATTAGAATTTAGAACAAACCTAGAAATGTTCATCTATGAGTCTCAATTTTCTTGTCTAGACCCAAGCAAGTGCACGCACAGCTAGAGAAGTATGGCCATCGGGTTTTATATTAAGAGCCCTTTTTTATGATGCTAACTTATTAAGTGATTACTCCGCTTGGAGCTCCTTAAGTTGTAGATTTAGTACAATGCAGCACAAGGATTTGAACTTCTATCCTCCTGTTGGCGATCAGTACACTGCGGTAATATCACGGATTCTGAAGAGCATAAAAAAAAAGAAGCCCTGAACTCTTCAACTCCCACTTACCTCAGAGATGACTTTTTCCATATTAGCTAAGCCGTTTCTTCCATAGATTCCTAAATTCCAATCCTAAAACCCTCTGCATCTCGTGCACCTCTCTCTCTCTCTCTCTCTCTCTCTCTCTCTCTCTCTCTCTCTCTCTCTCTCTCTCTCTCT